TTTTTAGGTGAAAATAAAATATTTAAAAATTATAAATGATATTTGAATATCAAAAGAGCTCACTTTTTATTTATTTGTTTATTTATTTTTACTTTTCCTATGTCAAATAGTGATGAAGATTGTTGGTGTACTGTACGATTAACTGATATTGATTATTTGTTTGGTCTAGTAATTCAGAAAAGAAGACTCGGGTGGGAGGTGAATGGATTATAAATAGTAAAAAGTTAATTTTTTAGTTTTTTTTTTTTAACTTTTTTAGTCAAAAGAAATTACAAAAAAAAAATCACAAAAAAAAGGTAGTTTTTTACCCAAAAAAACTATAAAAATCCAAAAAAACTAAAAAGTTAATTTAATTTTTCAGAACACCCCAAAATAAAGCGAAAAGTATAAAAAGGTATTTTAGTCATATTAAAAAAAATATTGTTTAATACAATACATTTATAATATTTGCTTCTCTCTATGATAGTGGGGTAATTACTTGTATTTAATGCATGCTTAACATAACTCTTATATAAAAAGTAGGGGTGTTCGCGGATCGGTTTTGTGCGGTTTGCGGTTCGGTTTTGACCCGCCCGCATCTATGCGGTTTGGGAAAAAGTCAACCCGCAACCGCCCGCAGTGCAGTTTGCGGTTTGTGCGGATAGGGTTTGCAAATGTGCGGGCGGTTGCGGGCGAAACCGCCCATTTATATGTGGGTTGGGCGGATTGGGCGGTTTGAGCGGTTCGGATAAACCGTTGCCCACCCCTAATAAAAAGTATATCCTCTCTTCTATCTATCTCCATACTTTTCTTGGAAATTTTAATCTAAACCCGCATTGGTAATTTAAACCGTTTATCCCCACATTAAAAGTTATCTATGCAAAAAATCAATTTCATTAAAAAATTATAAATACAAAAATATATATTTTTATAAATGAATGGTAAATATAATTAAATTTAAACTATTTATTTTACAAAATAAAATGTGATTTGTTCCCACGTTTACAGTTGTTCGATGAAACTAATTTTTTGCATAGATGACTTTCATTGTGGGACATATGAGATAGACGGTTCGGATTATCAATACGAATCCGAATTAAAACCCATAAAAAGAGTATGAAGAGATATGAAGAGATGAGCTATGGAGGGAAACTTATCCTTATATAAAAGGAAAAAATACTAATAAGTCTTATTTTTTATTTTTAAGATTATTATTTAATCCTATCAAGTTTCAATAACTAAATTCCATTTGTCATAAAATATTCTCAAAAAGTCCATTCTTCCATAATGGTATATCTTATTCCAATTTTACGATTTTCATTTAATATGAATAACAATTTTATAAATAATTTTAACTCAATTAAAATTTAAAAATTTAATTGTAAAAATTATTAATATTATATTAAAAAAATTATAAATAACAATTGGATCAAAACAATCATTTTTTGTTATTTCAAATTATGATTTTTTTTTTTAACGTAAACAATCTAAAATGGCTAATTCTATTAAAATTCTAAAGAGTTATGAAAAATAATCTTATGATAAATTTATGTCAATGCATGAAATAGTTAATGGATCGTATACTTATGAAAATTCATTTAATTTCAATGATTAAAAATATTTTTATTATAAAATAAATTAGTTATGAAATTTTTGTTTCATATTTTAATGATAAAAATAAAATTAAAGTAAAATATAGAATTATGAATAATTTAATTTTTTTTAACAATTTATAAATTAAAAAATAAAATAAGACTTATTTGTTAATATTGAAATTTGATATAATTCAATAGTAATTTTCAAAAGGGAAAATTAGTGTAGAGTCCCTCTCCCACTTTTCGTAATAGAAGAGATCCAAAAAATTATTTTTTGATGTCTAAGGTCCCTCAACTTTCACACCCATATATCCCAGAGAAATTTCATTGAAATCAAACCTCAGCTTCCCACTTATCTCTCTCTCTCTCTAGAATACATACACAAATATATATATATATATATATAGCTTCAATGGTGGTGAGTTTTGAACCGGACTGGCCACGCTCAGTTCCGCCGTGGATCGCCTTGTGCTCCGTCGTCCACAGGAATGGCTCGTCGATTCACATCATGGAGGCAATGCATGCGCCGGTGCCGTCGAGCAGGTCATCGGCCTCTATTTGTTGGTGAAACCGAGCTTCATCACCTGTATCAAATTTTTAGGTGCTACATGACTTGCAAATGCATTTGTTTGTGTGCGCATATATCATTTTTATTTTTTATTTTTCTACTGCAATCCTATTCCAATTTATGTTCACTTTCTTTTTATTGAAGTATTACGGGGACACCAAACGAAAGAACATGGCCTGGAGTGAGTTCACTACCGTATTACCACCGCACTAAATTGTGCATGTGTAATCCTAAGGTAATATTAGATTTGCTTCAGTTAATTTATTTTGCAATTGAAAGTTATAAATTTGTAATCCCCCCCCTCTCACGAAAAAAAAAATGCAGAACCTGTTTGAAGTTGTTCCTGATCTTGAACCAGCTGGAATTTTTTCTGATTTCAATTTTCTCTAGTATAAGATTTTAATTTTTTCTGGTAAAGGATTTGAATTTTCTCTGGTTTGCGGAGTCCAGAGAAATTCTTTTGGGTTGAAAGAATTTCTCTGAAAATATTTTTCTGGGAATTTTCTCTGGGTTGTGGAGTCCAGAGAAATTCTCTGGGTGAGAGAATCTCTGAAAATGTTTGTCTGAGAATTTAATACAGAAATAGAATAAAAATATACTTCAAATCCAAATTCAACGAATAAATAAAATAATAAAAAAAATTATACTCAATTCTCTTAATTATCAAATCCACACTATGCCCAACTACCTCCTGAACTTCCTTTATATGTCATTCTGTTACTCACAGTTTATAGAGAAACAAACAGAAGAAGAATAAAGCTTGAGCAAGAAGTGTTGATCATGGCAGAAGGTGAAGACGAAGCTCCAGATATCAAGTCAACTGAAAATTCAAAGGTCAGAGAAATTTTCAAAATTTTTATAGAAAGTCCAGAGAAATTCTTCCCAAAATTTCTCTGGACCAATTTTCTCTGTGACGTGAATTTTCTCTGGACTAATTTTCTTTAGACCAATTTTCTCTGGATCAACTTGAAGGACCTTAGGTATTATGAAAATATTAGATGTCCTTTATGCTATAAAATCTTCATACAAGAGACCTTAAAAAAAAGGGGTATTTTTTTTAAGGTCCCTGATATTATGATTTTATAGTATAAAGGACATCAAATATTTTCATGATGTCTAAGGTCCCTCAACATCAATCCAGAGAAATTTCAGTCCCAGAGAAATTCTCTCTAGAGAAAATTGAACTTCTCTCCAGAGAAATTCTCTAGATTCAAACCAGAGAAAATTAAAATTTCTCTGAGTACTAAAAAAATTTTGAGAAAATTATGGTGAGAAAATTTGTGTATCTATTCCTCGAATTCCTACTTGCACCGGTCACATTGTCATCTTCAATTTCCTGACCTTGTTACTTTTTTATTACACTGTCTATCTCCAATCATCAATGGGCAAACTGTGTAGCAGAACGTATTTGTCTTGATGAATGATATGGATGCCTTCACTGTAACCTAGTCTGGTTTATCTGATCTTCCCAAGCCTTCGTCCTTGATCTGAGACACAGTTTTACAAATCTCATTCTTTGGTCCTCCAGGCATGTCTCTAAAGATGGATTGAGAAGTAATATTTTTGCCCCGTTCATCAAACCAAACTCTCAAGCTTTAGGCCTCTAGAGACCTCAGAGAAATTTGAATTTTCTCTGGGTTGAATCCAGAGAAATTTGATAAATTCAATCGTCGCGATCAAATCCCCAGAGGATTCAAATCCAGCGCCCAGCTTGTCGATGAAATTAGGATCGGCGATGACGAAGCAATCGGGGCACTCCCACTGGACACGAGTTTGCATTCTCTCCACAGAGCAAAGGCATGTTGGTACAGGTGAGATGCATCATGGTCTCTACACACACCATGTTCTGCATTCTGTTGGATATTTCGAGAGTGAGATCTGCAGTAGATCCACCAGCTCCCCATGTGATGTCGCAGAATGATGGGTTATGAATCACCATTCTCTTCATCCTCTTGAACAGATTGTCCACTTCATCTTCTGTCTTCGAAGGAAAGAACTCGAACGAGAACACTACTCTATCTCCTCCTTCTGCCTCTCTGATCTTCTCTATCACCTAAAATTTTCCGATCTACGTACCACTACCACTATCAGACTCAAAACAAATAGCTCCACCAAACCAGATCGATCTCGATCTCCTCGAGATTGATAATTAATTGCACAAATAATTGTTGTTTGCTGGTTGCCTTGGATCTGGAAGACAGTGGGTGAGAGGAGAAGAGAGAGAGAAGAGCAGAGACAAAGAGTCAAATTTCTCTGATATATGCTTAGGGACCTTAGACATCAAAAAAATAATTTTGTGGATCTCTTCCATTACGAAAAGTGGAAGAGAGACCCTAGACCAATTTTCACTAAAAAAAAAAACCCCTTTTCAAAACAAAATAAAACTTATTGGTAATTTTTTTATTGTGATTTATGATTTTTTTAATACAATATCATAATTTTTACAATTAAAAATATAATTTTACTTGGATTAAAATATTGACATTGTTGTTCATATTAAATAAGAAGTAAAAATAGGATAAAATATCTCATTATGGAAGAATGAATGTTTTTGGAAATATTTTATGACAAATATGACTTAATTATCCATATTGAAATTTGATAGAATTCAATAATAAATTTAAAAACAAAATAGGACTTATTAATATTTTTCCTTCTATAAAACTCATCTCCATATATATAGAGAAAAATTATTTTAGTAACAAGTAAAAGAAAAGTTATACATATTTATAATAAAAAAAATTTACAAAATTAAAAAAGGAAAGATTCACAAAATTTTCAATATTTTATTTTTTTCTATTTTGCCCTAAAATCATATTTTTTTTCAATCTATATATATATATATATATATATGCCTGTTCAATGGCCAACACATACAAGTAGGCTTTTTAGCTGAATATACAAAACATTTGAGAGAGAGAGAGAGAGAGAGAGAGAGAGATGGATAGGGTGTTTTCAGTGGACGACATGGCCGACCAGTTTTGGTCGCCGGCGCCTGTACGTTTACCGATGACGGCGGAGGAAGAAACGACGTCGTCGTCTTCGAAGGTACATCCGACTATGATGAATCGGAGCGAATCTGAGTGGGCCTTCCAGAGATTCCTTCAAGAGGCCCGGAATAACACCACCCACAGCGAATCCGAATCCTCCCCTTCTGCCTCCGCCGTAGCTTCTTCGTCGGCGATACCCGAAAACGACGTCGTCGAGATCAAGGACCAGCCTCAGCCTCAGCCTCAGCCTCAGCCTCGGGCTCAACATCGTCAATCGACGAATCAACAAACGGCGTCGTTTAATTCGGTTGCGCCTCCGAACGTTCCGGTGGATTCGGAGGAGTATCAAGCCTTCCTCAAGAGCCGTCTCAATCTGGCTTGCGCTGCTGTTGCTTTGACTCGGGTATGTTTTCTGTTTGGTTCCCGAGAAAATTTAGGTCAAAACTATCCGAATTTGTTTCCAATCGTGATTTTTTTCTCTCTCTTTTTTTTTGGTTAGTGATGTCATGAATCTGAAATCCAGGGTTGTCTGATTTCCCTTTTCTTTGCCTTTACATATATTTTTTTTCTTGATTGGGTGGTAGATTCGTTTGTTTTCTGTTTGGTTCCAGAGAAAATTTAGGTCAAAACGAAAGAAAATTTTGGTTAATGATGTCATGGTGTCGCATCTGCGGCTCCGAATCTGAAATCCGAAGTTGTTTGATTTCCCTTTTTTCTTTGTCTTTTTTCTTTTATTTTTTTTTATTTTTTTTATTATTATTTTTTTCCCCTCAGCTGTCAAACAAAGCATTACACTTTTTCTTGATTAGATGGTTGATTTCCTTGCTTCCATATCCATCCATCTTTTGGCTTTTATTTTTCCTCTTTTTGTAATATTTTTTTCCAAACTGGTGGATTTTGCTAAAAATAAAAAATGCTATGTTTTTTTGGTTAATTGAACTGAATTTATTCATTCTTTCAATCATCTGGACTCTCTCTATATGTATATACAAATATATTATATATACACTTGTCTGTATGTGTGCATCTACGTATATGTGTCTGTATACATACTTGTGAGTATAGAAAATTGTTAGAAGTTTTTATTTATTAGTATTCTGTGTATATGTTTTCCAATTTCAATGCAATTGCTTCAGTTCTTTTCCACCACCAATTGTTTAGATTGTTTTGGTTTCTAAAGTGATATTTGAACAAATTGAGGGTATTATTAAAGGTACAAAAATGAGGGCTTTTGGGTACCATACCCAAAACCCATTCCCAACCATTATCCAGATTAGGAAAAATCCAATCATTGATTGATAACTATGAAGCACCGACACTTCAAAATAAGTGCCTCATACTTGTCAAACACATGGACACTTCAGGATAAGTATGGTACACAGTATATGGCGTATCCCTTTATTTAATTAATTTATTTCAGAGGACGCACTGGGGACACACTAGGGACGTACTAAGATTTTTTTATTTTTTTTTTCATTTTATTTAGTAATTTTCATGTATGTTGAATGTTTATTATTTTTTTTAAATTCAAATACTTAGTAGATCATCCATAAAAAAAAGATATAAACTGTAAATATTAACTTAAAAGTATTTTTTTTAAATAAAAAAAATATAATTAGAATTAATTTTTGTTTAGATTGATTGTTTGTGGATGTAATATTAATCTAGGTAGCAAACAAAAATATATGAAAACATATTTTATTACCGTGTCCTAGCCGTGTCTGTGTCTTTATTTTTTTGAAATTACCGTGTCTTGTGTCTATATCCGTGTCCATGCTTCTTAGATTGATAACAAGTAAAATCAGATACAAAAAAATTAAGTGATTTTTTGTAGTACTCCTATTGAAACTAACCCTCAACTTATCACACAATAGGACAATCTACTGGAATCCAACCCTACTTACCACTAGAATTGGCTCTACTTACCATATGACCATAGTTACGTACTATTTTAGGTATGGACCATATGGGTACTAAAACCACTAGTTTTGTATCATAAAATTCCACTTAATTTTAATGCAGAAATCACTCTCTTTGATCTGATGTAAACATATGATGTGCCATCTTACCATTCTACTCTACGGTCTTCTATTGTGGAGTTTTGGTATGTGCTATTGGGTAGCTGGGTTGAGTGTGCTGGGGCAAACATAAAGGCATTATTCAACTCAACTTAGGAATGACAGGTTTATATTCCAACATCCTCGTATGCAGTCCCTCTGAATGTACTGGATAATGTTGATATTTTAGCTGCCCAAAAAACTTCGAACCTTTGACAAGGTTGATGAGCAGAGTCACAAGAGTTGAAAAGAGAAGTGGAAAAATCTTAACTAAGAAGCTATCGGGGGCATGGAGATTCTTCGTTATAAGATATTTCCTGTGCATTTTTCATGTAACTAGGATTGTCCCCTCAAGCTTTGGTTAACAGTAACTAGGATTGTTCTCTTACCAAATGATGAGCTTTTGATTTCTTTACTAGTGTTGCAAGGCATCTTTTTTAAAGCCACAGTGGAATGAAGGGACTAAAACAATCTCAATTGGTAATATTTCCTTGTGAATGCTAAATCTTTAGATTAGGTTTAGGATAGTAAAGAAGAATCTCCTTGCCAGATCCTTTTTCACCAAAGGGTTGTTTCTCAAACTTGGCTCACTTTTTTTGGGGATAAGCATAAAATATCATTAATTGAGCACCAAAATGACAAGACAAGGGCCCAAGCTTTGCACAACGTATATGAGAGAAACCCCATAACCCTATGTAATAACAGCAATGTACAACTCTCCCAAAAAATCTACAAAAAATAAAAAAGAAATGAACAAGGATGCCTCCTTGAGTTAAAACCAGTAGGTAACAAGAAGCATCCCGTTCAAACTAGGAATCAGAAGCTCCACATTTCTCTCACACCATTAGCACCACATCACACATAAAGTAGTGGCCTCCCAAGCCCTCCTCTCTCCCTTCCCTCAAGGCAACCCCTACTCCAAGAAGCAATAAGATCTCTAATATTGCGAGGGATCACCCTCTCAACCTCGAAGATGGGCATCACCACGCACCATAACACCCTAGCCACCTTCTGGTAATGGTTTCCTTCAAGGCCATAGTTGATTTTTTTCTCCTCCTCCTTTCTATTCCTTTTCTTCCTTCCTCTCCTCGTCCCCTGTGCCTTTTCTAACAAGTGAAAATATAACTTATGCGCCAACCTTGAATTGTTTCCCTGATATTGAAGCTCTATGCTCAATTTCAGCCTCCAAACAAGGTCTGCTATCCTGGCTTGAATAAAGTGGACCGTGAATATTTGGAAATTCAAAACTTTTAGGAAACATCCTTGTAGTGAATATTTGGCCCAAAAGAAACCTGTTTTCTATTCCCTATCCATATATGTTGTTTCATAATTTCTAAATGCCTGTAATTTGGTTACTTTCAATTACCTACATTGTGTGTGGAAAATTTTATTGATGTGCTATGTTTAGAAAGTAGGTACTACTATAACTGCCATTTAGTGGGGATGAGCCATATGTGCATTAGCTCATTTGACCTTATACCTGACATGCAAATTGGCTCACACTTTCTTTTGGATTCGGTAGTTATGTCTTATTTTGGGAGTAAGCAAAAAGAAAATCATAATTGTGGCTCTAGTCTTTAATTCAGCACATCTACCATTTTTTGAACTGCTTTAAATTTTCCATTGTTCTACAAGATGGAAACTCTATTTAAACATCATAATTCATGTCAATAGGCATCTTTTGTAAAATCTCAAGAATCTCCTATTGTAGCGGACAATGGATCACAGGCGTCCAGTACCGGACAATTGGGAATGCAAGCTCTTGGTGAAGGTTAGTAGCTCCTACTGTTTAAATGTTTTATTTATTATTGTTATTATTCTATGCTTTGAGCATATGCATAAATGTCGGGTGTGTTTGTAAGGGTGTTGGTGAGTCACTCCTAATCTTTTCCATGGTCAAACATTATTTAATAATTTTCATGTTCACTTTCTTAATATATTCCATCCATGTAGCAAGAATCAAAGGGATTTGGATTGCTTCTGGTAGAGCAAGAGTAATAATGTTCTTTTCAATATCATTTTAACATCAATTTACACCCTCTGTTATCAGAATCTTAAGATTCGCGATTCGATTCGCGGTTCGATTCATAATTTTTGCAAAATCGATACGAATCTATAGGTGAATCTCTCTGTTATCAAAATCTTACGATTCGCGATTCGATTCACGATTCGATTCGAATTTTTTGCAAAATCGATACGAATCTATGGATGAATCCATTTTGGAAGTAAATCTCTAATGAATCGCACAATTTTACAATCGATTCACGATTCAATTCACTTTTTACGATTCATTTAATTTTTTAAATTATTGTGTCCGACATATTTTCAACTATTTATTTCTCCATATTTTTAGTGAAAATGACATAATACAACGTCTAATAGCGTTTAATACCAAAATAACCAACAGATATACATAATTTGTTATTATTTTAGAGATCATGAAGTTTTCAATAAAATCCAATCAGATTCAGTCAGACCCAACATATTTTTAACATTTCTTCTCATTTTTTTTCCCTTTAAAAAATCATAATATATCTTCTAAAGATATTTAAGATTAAAGTTACACTATGAATTATCTATTGCTATTTTATTAAATTGAATATAATTGAATATTACATATGTGAAGTCAGTTATACCTTTGAAAATGTTTTAGGCTTTACAATAAAATATTCTAAATAATTCTTTCTTATTATTTGTTCACTATTACTTAGAAAAGTATGTATGCTTATTGTCCAAATATCAATATCATTGTTAATTATTGTTATTTTGGAAATTGATAATTTGTTTATTTGGTTATTATCTTTATTAAGAATGATTGATAAGAAATATCTAAAAAGAAAAAAAGGATGATAGTGATCTTATATAAGAATTTTGTTAACTTCTTACCTATTAAAATACGTGATTATCATTCAAAATAACATTTTCATTGATTTAAGTCTAAATATTTCATATTCATAAGATATATTTAACATCTAAATGTGTAAATATATATTTTTAAGTAATTTTAAAAAAGTGACCGAATCTTTACGATTCACGATTCGATTCGATTCACGATTCGGTACAAGGTCATTTCGATTCACAATACGAATCTCGATTTGACAACTATGTTTACACCTAATAATTAGATTGTCTATGCATGCATAAACAAACATGTGAGTATGATTTGCATACAAGTTATTTTGGTTAATAGAGGATTGGAAGCGTCTACTTCATGTGGTAAGGATTTCTTTGGTTTGATTTTTGTAGTCCCATTTATCAATTTACCGGACTAAAGCAAGTTATATGGAGTCTTATGTTGATGATCAACATAGTGTTAGACTCCACTTTCAGCTTTTATAGTTAGCTGAGCTAAAGCTGCTAGCAGTCTGAATTTGTTGTAAACAGTAGACTAGGAAGGCTAATCAAGATTTGCATTGTGGATAGGAAAGAAGGAATTGACAATGATTGGTGGCAATGAAGATAATGATTGTTAATTTGTTATGATGACATTTGAATTATAAGTCTATTTTCTTTTTGATCACCTTTTAGCCAAGTCTTTATTCATGTGTACATTCTCTTTGCTTCTCTTCCTGGAATACTCTTTATAGGTTGCAGTTATGTCATTGGATAGCATAGAAAGTATTGAATGTTGTCATCCAATTTTGATTTTGTCACTTTTGTAGGATCTGGGTATGGTCTACCAAAGGGACAAGATAAGGATGTTATTGGACCCCTTGGAATTCCTTCCTTGCCAGCCATGGAAAAGAAATCTGTGGTCCAGGTGAAGTCAACGACGAGTGGATCATCAAGAGAACAGTCAGATGATGATGAAGCTGAAGGAGAAACAGAAACGAATAACACAGACCCTACTGATGCAAAACGTGTCAGGAGGTAATTGTGTTGTTAGATACTAATGGTTAAAATTTATCTGGAAATTTGATTGTTGCAGATGTGTGACTATCCTGTTTTATATCTTTGTGAGGATGTGCACATATCATTTGTAGTTGGTATAGATAAATGCCACTTATCCTATTTTATATCAAATAATTAAAGGTGATTTTCTCTGGCAATATATATATATTTTTTTTTGCGCCGATGTAATTCATGCTGTATACATAAAAGATCAGGAAAATTGCTTACAAATTTTTTGAATAGAAATTCCCTTTAATAATTGATGGAAAGACAACTTGCTACTTAAAAGTTGTCTGACCTGAATCTTATTTGTGAGAGATTTAGTCTGTTCAACAGCATAGACCACTGAAACATGAATTGTTAGCCTTAAAATGACTGTTTCAAATGAATAGTGTAAGTAACTTATTTATTGAATATGTTTTTCTTAATTTATGAAAAAGATATATATCTTTGTTCATGTTGTTAGCAGAAATTTCAGTGAGATGAACCTCCTCCGCAATGGATGCCCAAAAGAGTGGGGTAGGCCTCAATGCCTATTTGAGGTCCACAAGAAAATGACAGGCCTCCATGAATGATTACAGTTGTCTTCTATGAGAAGAGGAAGCATCCATCTATTTTTTCATTTTAGGTAACGAGGGATGGCCTCTTTTTGATTTCCTAGAAGGTTGAGAAATTGAAAGAGACTATCTTTGACCAAAAGGGATTGCTGCACAATTAGAGGATGAAGCATTGATCAGTCTTGTGGTCTCGACTTTGCTTGCTTAATTTTATACCAACATGTGTATGAAATGTAGTGGCTGTTAGATGTTCATTGCCATGCATTTAAAACGCTTACTGTAACTATGATTCTGTCCATCTTTTCCACGAACGGATCATTTTTTTCGTGCCTTCTATACACATTGTTGCCATATTCAATTTTCTTCAATTAATTTGTTGTGTGTTTTTCAGAATGCTTTCTAATAGAGAATCAGCTAGACGCTCTAGAAGAAGAAAACAAGCCCATTTGACTGAGCTAGAAACACAGGTTTTGTCCTTTATCTTGCCCCGTACCTTTGTTTTTCTAGCTTAATTCAATTTTCTAATGAAACATCGTGGTTCATCCTAGGTTTCTCAATTGCGGGTTGAAAACTCTTCCTTACTGAAGAGGCTTTCTGACATAAGCCAAAAGTACAATGAATCAGCTGTTGACAACAGAGTTTTAAAAGCTGATGTCGAGACATTAAGAGCTAAGGTATGTGTTTCATTGAAGGAGCATTCGAAATTAGTTACTCGACCCTTTTTGTTCTCAAAAACCATTCATCTCTACTAACCAGTATAAAATTCATATCTTAACCTACAAAATATTTTTCTTTTTTTGATTACTCGGTATCCGGCCCATAAGACCAACTAATCTGAGGGACCAATCTCACCATCTACTTGTGAGGGTCCAATTAAAGCCAGGGCAAAAGTACTGTATAGACTGGCCCCAAGAAATTGTTTGCAGCTAGCAGGTTTCGAACTTGAGACCTTAAGCACATCTCCATGTCCCAAGCCTTGACCACCAAGCCAACCCCTTGGGGCTACAAAATATTTTTCTTGGCATGCCTTTCTTGTGAGCTCAGTTTTTTACTCTTCTTTTCTTGTAGAACATTATCGGTTGCTACCTATTCTTGTAAGAAAATAGCTACTGTATGTGCAGTGGCGGAGTCAGGAATTTAATGTAGAGGGGGCACCAATTAATTATAATCTCAAAATTTTGTCTCGATCATTAGTATTATAGTCCATAATCTGAGGTCGTAGTCCTAGATTTGCAGGAAGGTCTACTAAGGATGATCTAAATAAGTATATTTTTTGACTTTTTATGAAATGTGGGTTGGATTTGGGTTGGGTTTGAAGTGATGTGTTAGAAAGGTGGTGTGACTTAAATAAGATGATGTAACTTAAATAGAATAGTGACTTTTTAACTTTTTTGAAACTTGCCAAACCAGCCCTAAGTTAATTTATATGCGACTTTGTTTTGCGGAAAAATAATTATAATCTTCTTCTTAAGGAAGAGATGATTCTAACTTTGATTTTTTTTTGAAATATTGCTCCATGACTGTTTTAAAAAATAAAAATCAAAATAAAAATTCATAATCAAAATCACAAACCCCCACAAATCAAAATCTCCAATTTTAATATAAATCAAAAAATTTAAAATTAGCACAAATCACAACAAAGAAAATTTCTAATATACTAATATTATAACAAATAAAAGTCCCTAATTTAAATAACAAATACTATAAATTAATATTTTTAATTGTAGAACAAATCAAATCCCTAATTTTAGCACAAACAACAACAAATCAAAATCCCTTACTTTTAATATAAATCACCACCAATTAATATTCATAATTTTAACATATCAAAATCTCTTATTTTAACATAAATAATAACAAATTTAAATTTTCTACAAATAAAAACTTAACAAATAACTATAAATTGATACTCATAATTTTTATTTAAAAATAAAAAATTATAAATAAAGTTATATGTAAACAATGAAGAGAAGATAACAAGGTTATAGTGCGATCCCAAATCTGTATTGCGTGATCCTAATCTGGTGAATCACTAGTTGATAAATTACAAAGTAACAAAGAGAGATAAAAAAAAAAAGTATATATATATATATATATCGTTTTCCTATGAATCAAAAAATAATTAATTGGATGAGAAGGAGTGTTTAGGTGTGTGTGTTAATGTGTTTAGAAACTGGGTGCATGTGTGCATGTGTTAGTAGGTCAAAGTGTGTTTCCAAATGGGCTACTGTGTATTATGTATATAAGGCACTGGGTGTAAGCTCAAAAAAAAATTATTTGAAAAGTTAGGGGGCACGTGATCTCCTTCGTGACCCCCCCGGTCCCCACATCCCTCCGCCCGTGTATGTGTGTGTGTCTACTGGAGGTGGGTGCATACACAATGCCTTCGCAATTGTACATTAAACTATTGGAAGGTTTGATGAATGAGAATATGGGATGAATTTGAAAACTATTTGGCAATTCTCTATCATTATAACCATTTAGTAGTGATTATATAATAGAATAGATGCATTTATGATTTAAATATCGTGTTAGGACAAAACAAGAAGTTGCAAACTGAGATTTCTGTTGTCTCATTCGAGTGAAGCTTTTATTTTCAGGTGAAGATGGCTGAAGAGACAGTTAAAAGAGTGACCGGATTGAACCCTCTGTTCCAAGCCATGTCTGATATGTCCACAATGTCCATGCCATCATTTGCCGATAGCCCTTCTGACACATCGGCAGATGCTGCAGTTCCCGTGCAAGACGTCCCAAACCAGCAACACTTTTATCAATCTGCTGCAAATAATAATCATATGTCAAGAATTGAAAACGATTTCGTAGACATTCCTTCAGCAGAAAACGAGCAGCAGAGTCCGGGGAATAAGATGGGTAGAACAGCTTCCATGCAGCGAGTGGCAAGCTTGGAGCATCTGCAGAAGCGGATTCGTGGAGATGCGAGCCCGTGTGGGACTCAGTGTAACGGAAAGCAGTAGCGACGACAACAGAAAAGCCCCAACTGCATTAGAGGTTATTAAAAGATTATTCTAGTTCAATACATCTTATCAGTTTCTGTTGCAAGGTTTTTCTATTCTTTTTGTTCTAAATACATTATGGGGAAGAACCCAATTTGATACCTTTGATTAATTATGTGCTGCTGAATGAAACAGCTCGACTTTCACATGAATGGGACATAATGATTATTTTATCTCCTCTCCCTCTCTTGTAATATCTTTTTTTTTTTGTTTTGTTTTGTTTTATTTTAACAGAGATTTGCAATGAATGAATCTTGATTCTTCATAATTTCTTGTATTCTCATGAGACCTGATTATTGTTGCTGGCTTATTAAAGATCTAGTGGCTATGGCTATGCAGGTGTGAGGGAGAAGAGAGACAAAAGGGGTTGGGGAGGGAGGGAGCAAGAAATGAAAGGGTGTTGGGCCTATTTGGTTAAAAAGAATAGGAAAGCTATTTTTTTATTTTTTTTTTATTTTTTGAATGGTATTTTGCTATTTCATTGCAAATTTTAATTGTATTTTTGTCATTTTATAACAAATAAAGTCAAATTAATGAAGGGGAGGTTGGTATATATTTCAAGGCAAAAGAGGGTTTTGACAATGCGATACTTATAACTTAAGACAAGTTTCTTGTAATTATCTCTACTGATACCCCTCCTCCCAACTTCCTATTGCTCCCCCACCTCTCCACTCCCCATTCCCCTAACATCCCCCAAACCCTTTCCTTCACAACCTGCCTTTACCCGTAGCAACAAAACATCTTTCCTTTACAGCCTCATATCCTTTACCCGTTGCAACAAAACATATTGGGTGCAAGTGCAAAAAACGTAAGTTTCACTTGCACTTAATATAATTATCAGCAGCAAGGTGGAGGTGCCAAGAGGGTTTGGGGTTTGGCGAGGGGGGATGGGAAGGAGGTTGCAGGTGAACAAGGAAGATAAGGGTGAACTTTCATTTGGTTTGGTACTAGTGAAAAACATGTCCCAGTATAAGTGAATACTGTGAAAGTTTTTACAATTTTCAATTCCACCCAACATAAGCATGGTGAGGGATCACAAAGAGAGAAGGGCCATGTGTGTTGGGGTGGCTGCAGTTACTAGAGTTGATGAAGAAAGAATTACTGTATAGGGAAGGAAAAGAAGGGGCTTATAGTATTGGTGAAGTGACAAAGGGTGGTGGAGATGGTGGTGGCAATGGCAGGAAAAATGATAGGAAAGGGGCCAAGTGTGACAAGGTAGAGGGGGAGAGGGTTTTGGAATGGCGGTCAGATGGTCAAGTAGCATACAGAAGAAGATGGAAACAAGGAATTGGAGGGAAACAACGAAGGTTGGCCCCTTAAAATTCGGCTCTAATCTTGTTCTATAGTCCAAAAACATGAAATTCAACATTGTAAGGGCCATGACAAGTGAAAAGAACTCACCAAATTACCATTTTCACACAAAACTTGCAAGGCTGACTGGTGAATCACATGACCCAACTCACCATCACCACCACCACCACCACCACCACCACAATATTTGACAACACCAAACAAAAACAAAAACAAAAAATTTAAATATCAAAAGATAAACACACAATACTAGCACTTCATGATACTGTAGCTTAAAGCGCCCAGGGAAAAAGCTTTCCTGATGACCAAAACAACCGGTAATCCCAGTACATTCCACTAATAAACTATTTACCTACAAAATCCAAGTAATATTTTCCTTGACATATGATTGAAGTAATTTACATCAGAATCCAAAAATAAAAGGTACAAACTACAAAGTTGTAAACTAGAGTTTTTGGCATATTTTGTTAAGTGTCCAGAGGGGGTTGTACAACAACTCCAAGCAGCTAAATAAATTTTGTACAATCACATTGAGAACAATCAGTAGGGTGACCTGTACAAGAAAAACCCACCGTCCCTGACTCTAATTTAACAAACACAAAACACCCTTCCTGCTCCCCATCAAAAACATTATTCTACACCCTGTTTCCCAAAATCTAGGTCAGCCAACTATATATATTAGAAAATCAAAAAAAGGCCACCGGTACATTGTCAACTCCCTTGCAAACCACCAAGCTAGCAGCATTGTTTGCAGACGGTTTCTCAAATTTGGCAGTTCTTAAATTTGGTTTCCCTTATCATTTTCACCGCTGTAATTTTCTCCTGCAACAATATACCAATGCAACAGAGAGATGAAAATTGAGAAGATAATACAATATAGCCAAACACATCTTGTAGCTCAAACAGGAAACAAAATCAAGACCTAGACCAAAAAATATTCCACAATCCGAGAGACAAGGTCTCAAGCTGAGAGGCTAGACAGTGCTAAGTTTTGGCTTGACTTTCTTGATTTGAAGGAAAATTTTGAAATGTTTTTATGTCCAGCCAACTTCAATGAGTTGACTTTCTTGTTCCCTTCTTGACAACTAGTAAACATTTTCTGGTGAAAGGAGTGAGAGCCTGGGTGATTGGGCCTCTATACTCCCACACCTTAGGACGATGGTTCAAACCACACCTCTCACCTTCCCTCTTACCCCAGACTAGGTTAGATTAGGCATTTCCAATGTTCAACCCTATTTGGTTTCGTTTTCAAAATCTGTTCTGTTTTTTTTTTTTTTCCTTTCAAAAATCTAAAAATTAGTTTGGTGAATAAAATAAAATAAAAAACACGTCATTTTCATATGGTTAGCTTTTTGGTGCAAAAATAATTTTTTTTTAAATTTAAAAATATGTTGTGTTTATTTTTGTCATACAAATTTCTATTCTGCAAACAAAACCAAACAGGGTGATCATTTTCTCCCAAATCCAGAAAATTCAAAAATATAATGTGAACCGACTTACTTATCACGTTGCTCCAGAACTTGTGGTAACCCCACTGCCATCCCTTAAGCCTACAAGGCACATATTCAATGTTCTCTGTGCACTGTCTGCAACCAATCTCAACCTCCCTTGACTAACATCGCCAGCCGAACCTCCATTCACTTCCACGGTTCTAGCCACCCTCTGTTTACATTTCTCCCAGTCATCGAGCTGCAACCAGCAGGCTCGGCCCCCGTGGCTTCCTTCCATTCCGAGAAATGAGACGTTAGGGTTTTCACAGAATGAATATCTCAATCTCACCGAAACACAGTAGGGCAACCAAGCAGCACCACCGGCAGCATTTATGGAAGGTATGTGACTAGAATCAAGAACCACAGTCAGTGCAAAATCGACACAGTTATGGGGTCGGTCATAATGAATATTGCTTTTTGACGCAGATGAATTATCAGAGTTTCCATCTGCATTCAATCCGGCATGATTTTCAAGACATAATTCAATACGAGGTTTTTGTGCAGGGGCGGTATCTCCACCTTGCGCCTGAGCTAATCCTTTTTTCCACGCTATAAGTTTCAAGAATTCTCTTAAAACTGAAATTGGTAAAGTAAGAAGAGTAATAAATGATGCAACCCGTGAAGCGTCATAGGGTTCTGATGCAACACGTCGGCTGAAATAGTCACATATCTCGCCTATTTCAGATTGTGTTAGCTCCTCTTGAGCAGTGGCTGCGTTTTGCTGCTGCTGTTGCTGCTGTGAATGATGAAAGCGTTTCACGCTAAGGACTTGGAGAAGAAGTTGAACCCTGTGCACACTTACAGCAAATACATAACCCCTGCAAACAGGATTCCATAATCAGAACCCAGGATACAAGTTACTCAAGATATTAAAGTGTAAAGCACCCTTAGAGAGTATAATGGTGCGGGCGTGATTTCAAGCATACATGAGTTCTTTCATGCATAACAATCTTTGACTTTAATCCTTTATCAAATTGCAGAAAATCAAATCAAATAAACAGAAAAACACACATTCTTAGGAGAAAAATGAGCATTTGTGAGATTTCTCTCATAATCATAAAATAAAGCAAAACATAAAGATATTATGACAAATGCACTAACAAACATTATTGTTATTATTGGCTTATTGTCTCCACTTTCAATCCTTACAAATATCAGTATGTCAGGAAAAACTACTAATAAAACTCATTAGAACATACCACAAATTACTTATTTCTTTCTACTGAATAAATCGGATGAGCAATCATCGAGTTCTTACCCCCCTATTCTATACATGTTTCAAGGTTACGTAAAAATCAGACCAACTAGAATTGTTCCTTGGTTTTTTTTCCTCCCCCTTTTGGGTTGGTAAATTGAATTGAACATCATACCATTAGTTCCACAAAGCTGTTTAGAATAACAATTCCCAATAGCGGGGGAAAAAAAACTGATAAGAAAAGAATAACTAAAACTGTTCAAAGTACCCACCAAGGAGTTTAGAGAAATACATAATTATTCTACAAGCCTACCCACTAGCATGTCACCATACTCCCAATCCTTCCAATAGCATAAAGAGAAAAAAAAGCAGAGTGAATAACTGGATGATAAAATTTCTTGGAATCTAATGTTGTTGTGTTAAGCATTTGCATGCTGCTCCCAATCTGACGAGAGAGAGGAAGAATGATTTCTTGCACAAAATAGTATCTGTTCCTAATGAGTGATTTCTTGCATCCAAATGCGTGTGAGTAACCCCCGCATGTGCAGTAGTGCATTCATTCTCTCATGTGATCCCAGTGAACATCAATTTAGAAATATCACCCAAACCTAAGCATCACACATCATTCAAGCAATACCAAGAACAGAAAAGAATAAGAGAAATATAAGACATGATTAGACATATTTTGACAAAAGCATAAAACCAAAACTGTATGTTTCTTACCCTACAAAGAAGCGCAAGGCTGGCTGCTCCTGGTCTAAGTTTAACAGTGCACCTTCATTGTCCTTTAAAATTGACCCTAGGATGTCTTTCAAAAGATCAGGTAACTGTGCGAATAACCATAGCACTCCAAGGTACTTGAGAATACCTCTAAGAACTTTCTTAAGTGCAACAAGTGGAACCCATCCACCACCATAACCTCCATCATCCCCAAGTCCAATAATTGCTGTATTCAGTTCCCCTCTCACATGAGCAGGGACACCTGCACCAGGTGATCTACGTATAGGCAAGCCCGCACTTACAACTGGTAAATTTGGGGATGCTGAAAGAGCGTTACCCATACGGTTGAGACCAGTAACTTGATTTCCTGACCTGGCCATTCCACCAGGATTTGAGAGGTTGACTCTGTTTCCACCGGAAGTAGACAACTGTGAAACCGAACTTGGATTTGGACCGTTTGCATTTGCCATCCCAACTGTCTGTTGACCACCAGTAAAATTAGGCTCCAAACCGTTCAATTCCTGAGCCACGTGCTCCATAATGAAAGGACGAAACTGTGGGCATGGTAATGATCCTCCAACTGAGGGGCCACCTTTTGGGGGTGTTGCTGGTTGCAACCAAACCTGATCTCCAGCAAAGCAGCGCATGTCGACTGCAAAGAATTTACGATATATTATCCGAATCCAGTAGGGCCCACGAAGGACAACAGAGACATCTATGGGCAACAGTGAGCTAGGAACAATGCCGGGGCCACCTCGCCCAGCAGCAGCAAGCATCGCAGCCCCGTGAAGGCTGTGATTCCCAAGAGAGCCGGCATTGGTGGAGGTAACGGGATTCCCTCCAGGGCCAGATGTCACCTGACTAGCATTTGTGGTTGAACTAATTTGCAAGTGTCCCTGGGGTTGTAGGTACCCACTCTGTTTTGAAATAGAAGAGATGTGCGCTGTAACACCAGGGACCCCAGAAGCAGGACCAGCCCGTGCAGGGCGTGTTGCTGCTGCAAGGGCATGCAAGGGTCCAGCAGTGAGGCGAATGCAATCCAGAAGAGATGCAACTTCAGCACCATTTATAAAGTCTTCTAGAAACTGGAGAGAAGACAAGCATGAAGTACTAATATTTAATATAAGAGAACAAAATGAAAGTGCAAGAAATTTGCAAAAGCAGAACTAAATAGATTTTTAACGAGTTTGAACAAGTCCAAACTCGAATAGTATGAAGCTAAAAACTGGAAACTTCGAATATAAAAATAAAATAAAATGAACCGGGGATCAAAAAAAATAAATGTTCTTTAGGGTGAACCAATTTGATATCATAGCGCTGGCCAAAATTGATTTTCACTTTAAGTAGAAGTTCTAGACAAAAAACATACTGTTTTTGTAATGGATGACCGGATCCTCCAATATGGATCAATCAACCAATATGCAGCAATTAGCATTTATATGTTATTGGACACAAAAGGCTGAAAGTTAAACCATACAAAAGATTACCAAAAAGGTATTATACAAGACTTTGACCAATAAAAATAAAGAGGAAAAAAACATACCATTCAAAATTCAATATATAATTGTGTATATATAATGCTCATGTAACGTCAAGTATCTTACCTGTTTAATTGGTTAACAAATTTTTTGGTTTCTCAGCATTTATGATATACGCATTAATTGGTTAGTCAAACTATTTCCATGAGTGAGCCGTTAGACTGACTGTTTAACCAATTCACCCAATCAAGTGTTTTAGAAAATTTTACTACACTTCGGGAAAAGTCAGCTCGTCGATGTATTATTATACAACAAATTCATTACCAAATCTTATCAAATCAAATGAAAAAAGGGATCCGACTTTACTACTACCTCTTCTGACTTGCCAATATATACTAACGCATATTAATTGATTGGACTCTGCTCAAATTAAATATAATATGTTGTAAAATCTCTAAAACTTCAACTACATAAACTAACAGCCAGAATACCCTTATTGGATGTTTATGGACTTAATGTGGCACATGCTGCTTGTTTGCTCCCCACCTCATCACATCATTACTCCCACATGTTTCAGTCATGGTTGGTTAGATCCCACTTGCAAAGTGAACGGTTAGTGGGGGCAGCGAAAGATTTGCCACAAGTTGAATTATGTGCAATGCATTATTTTAGATTGATTTTTATTTTTATTTTTATTTTTATTTTTTTTAGAAAGAACATGGACATCTAAGGTTGGATAGATAAAACATCCCAAAATCTAACAAAACAAAGGATGAAGAAGAAAGAAAGAAAGAAAGAAAAAGAGTTAGCTTTATACATTATTGGAGGCACTAGGAAACTGTGTAACGTGGCATTCCAATTAAAATTTATGTCATGAACAATTGCCTACTTATGTATTTAGGAAAGTTGCATGAACATAAATGTTAACGGTGGTATCCTTGAATTTCTGGAAAACCACTAATGCTTATGTTATCATTCACACATGTTCCTTATGAAAGTTAGTAACCACACATAAAGTTCACAGGAGCGCTTCCTTTCCAATAACGATTGGCTTGATATCTTGAACACTCCCAGAAAAGGAAGTAATGCACGACCTAAGAAGCACAGACATGGACACGGACCTATGTTACCAGAAAATACTAATATCCTAGCGAATCATGTATTAGTACACACATTCCGAAACATGGTACACTTCCATTTCTAAACAATAAATTTAGTGATCCAAAACAATCCCAAATTTTATTTTATTTTTTCAATATATGTCCGTCCTTAAATGTTACCTTAGGAGGAAAAAGAATCAAATATAATGAACTAAAATATAAGGTGAGTTAAGTTTTAACAAGACAAAAATATCAAAAAATGGGTCATAATGCTCATAGAAAATATTACATTTTATAGGATGTCTAATAGTTTTTTAAAAAAATTACTCTAGAAGTACCTTAAATTCCTAAGTATAATATATACAGGTCTACTCCTATCGTACCACATTTTAGAGCATGTGGCGTACCACGTTCCCAGTCCACGTACTAGAATGATCTACGTTCCAAGTAACATAGACACAACAAAGACTCACAAATTTCCAAAAATGTAGGACAATACATCAGGAACACGTGCAAAACATATATTGTATATAATTATTATGTCTTATGTTTTAATATTCTATATTTATTCTATGTCAAAAATTTGTTCTCATCAAATTCATCAACCTTGTTATGCTATTCTGGTGAAAAAAAATATATAAAAAATAAATTTTAAAAATGGGTCCCAGCATGTCCAACCCTAGCATGCAACCTTTGGAGAGGTGTCTGTGCTTCATAGTGCATAACTATGCAGTGTGGACTGCAACCAAGAACAAAGACAGAAATTTTATTTAGACAAGACCAAAATAAGTTTAACAAGAACAATTAAATAAATATAGTAACAAAAATAAAAAAAAGTTAGCTTTCGATATAAATAATTTCTTCCATAAGAGATGTAAAAAGTCTCATAAGGAAATTCAATAAATTTGTATTAGTCATTTTTTAATACCTATTTCATATAGATTGTGAGCTACATATTTAGATCTTAGTGTATAATTGATTAGACTGTCATTTTAAGACAGTTTATTGGCCGAAATAGTTTATATGAATGAAAAGAATCTACCTCTATGATTTTTATATTTAAAAAAAAAATCCTTTCACATATTATATTTTTATTTTTTTTTTGGGTGCCAAAGTACATACTGATGCTATTATATAATATCAATATGTGAATAGTCATCCCATATACACTGTAAAAATACTCATGAAATATAGGAAAACCAAAAGAATTTTGGAAAAATTTTGGGACCATGTCATATACATTATAGAAATACTCCAAAATAGAGGGTTAGATGAATTTTGGAGACCTTGGGTGGTGGTGGGGGGGTGGGCATGGCCCCCCTTGGCCCATAACTAGCTTCCTCATTGACAATGACTGCAACTGTCTTAACCTGTAGCTAACATGTAGCTACTGTGAAGCATATCACAAGTTTAACCCTACCTTATAACAAACTTGCAGTGCATATATACAATAATACTTCTGTAACATTTCAAAAAACAAAAAAGGAAAATAATTGAAGCAGCTCTGCTCATCTGGGATGGCCAAGCTCCAGGGAAGTATTTGGTTCTGGGGTTGGAGATTAAGTCAAATCCGAACAATGGAAACACAATAAAGATAGAAAATAAAACAGGCAAACCTTGGTATGAGGCCAAAGCTGGTCGGGAGAAACATGCATCGTGCATCCCTCTTTACCAGACTCCCACTCGACAACAAAGCGAGCAAGTACCCCCGAACCAAAACTAAACCACAAACTCATGAGCCCAACTGCCTCAATGCGAAAAGCCCTCCTCATCTGTTCCGAAAATTTGTCAGATGCCTCTAGAGCATTTTTTGCTCCAGCTGCCGCTTTACCATCGGAGTTTGCACTGCCTTCTTCTAGTTTCTCATCTGGTCTTACTCCAAGCAGTTTTCGCATTCCAAGTGCAAACATTCTAGCATTGGAGAGCCTTTGGATATCTGCCACTAACTTCTTGATGCTATCTGCCTCCACAGATTGATAACTCAAAACAACACCTTCCGGATCATAACGGATATGAGAATCTACATCAGACGTATTGGCAATACGAACACCAGAACCCCATGGAGTACTATTGCTTCCCTTCTGAAGTTCCCACAAGTCCCTGAAGTGCTGGTCATTTATTTTGACATCCCAATACATGCTTCCAGGTCGACCAAGTCGCAGACATATGTGTTGCCATGTATCGCCTCTCGCAAATGGGAGTCGGAACCATAAATTTGAGGATGCATTTCTTAGACCCACTTCTTCAACATATGGAATGTCAAGTGCATCCATCTGGCTAGATAGTCGAGCATGCTTGATACAAAGTGAGCAGTGCCTGACCACATGAAGAAGAGCTGAAAAATATATGCTAGAGGGTGCATTTCCTTTATTTGCTTCAGCAATTAGACTTGCATAACTGTAACCTTCAGTTTTGCCAATCATCTCCGATGAAATGAGTGCCTGTGGTGAAGTCTGATGATTGAATCCTGAATCCATGATTTTTCTTCTCTTACTAAATCCTGACTGGTGCTCTAAACATTGAAGTGATGGAATCAAATTCAACATATCTGAAACTGTACGCTTTCTTGATCTTTTATCATGTCTAGTAACAGCATCAAGATTTGAGCTAGGACCAACTGCAAAATCTGGTGCTTCAGCTGAAAGGAACACATTTATCACAAATACACTTAACTGTAAAACTACTATTTAATTGAAATTTATAAGTCGCAGCTTATACAGATAAAATCAAAGTAACTTACATATGGTAGTTGTAGCCCAAGGGCTAGATCCAGAAACTTTAAAAGATCCAATTGCCGAGGTTCTAGGCCCGTTAGGTTTTACATTTGGTGCAGAAACTCGGGGGCCAGTCAGTCTTGGTGGGGAAGCCAAATCCACTGTGGCACAAGAATCAGCAGAATGTGGAGATCTAAGAGAAGCCAAATCCTGGTCAGATTTTGAAGCAGACAGTTTCTTCAAAGTTGTGCTCCTTCCTAAACCAGAAGATGGTGAACTCACAGAGCTAGACTGCATGATGCCCTTCAAATTGCTTGTTGAATAAATAGAGCCATTATTATAATGGGGAGATCCACCAGAAACTTTAGGAGCATTATTGATCTGTGCTATCTGTGTTCCTCCCTCCCACTTAGGTGAGGAGGTTCCAACTTTCATACTCTGAAAATTCATTGGAACAGAGCCATAATGCGCTGCAGCAGATGCATTAAATGATGAAGAGAGACTCTGACTAGAAAAAGAAGGTGCAGATGACCCTCTCTCAAGCTCAAACACTTCATCAACAATAGAAGAGAAACTTGATAGCAGATTTCCAGAACCAAGCATAGAACCATCGACGTTGAGCTCAGAGAGAAGACCATGTTCAGAAGTCTGATTAGCACCCATAGCATTGGGTGAAAGTGAAAGTAGTTTTCCACAATCAATAAGGCTCAAATTAAGTACATCTTCAATCATCTGAATCTGATCAATGTCTACATTTTTTACACGGGTGACATTATTTAAGTCACCAAAAGAATGAGTTTTTCCTGATGGATCGGGCTGAGTCTCAAGCAATTTAAAAAGGGGTTTAAAATCTTTATCAAGTTGCATTAGCAAAAAATATGAGCTGCCACAGTCTGGAAAGCTCATTAACAATGAACTTGGACCATTCAAAATGTTCTTGGGCACTTTCACTGCAGCAAAACCATGTTCATTAACCTGCAAGCATCAAACAATACTAAACGACTTGAGCATATATTGCAAAATATAACAAATGATCTATCATATCTACATAGTCAAATCCCAAAACTAGGTTTCTCTAAATCGAAAGACCTAGTCACAAAAGCTGCTCGGGGGAAATTGAGCTAAAGTGAGAAACTTTACTGTAGTCAATAACTTGGGCTAAATATAGAGAACCAGCATTAGCAATACAAGTCCTTTGTTATCAATGACAGAGATGTATATGAAGCCTCATCATACTTCCAATTATGGCTGAAAAAGTTTTCTAGACTGAAGATGTAACAAAAGAGAGTGAAACTTCTGTGAACATCTATGTTACAATTTAACTTACATGGACTAATCTAAAATTTGTGAAGTACCCTTCACGGTCAATTCTTGGTTCTGATATGCCTAGTTAAACATGCACCAAACATATGTATAAATAGTTGAATTTACTATTGTCATGCATAAGACTCTCATTTTATATATAGAATGTTCTATGTTATGAAATCTAGTAGTGTCGTGGTGTCCTTGGACATGATAATTAGATGAATCCAACACTTTGATGCATACCCACACCCGACATCCATACCCAAACACACATAACATAGGTCACCTTCCAAAAATTGAAAAACATTCCAAATAAATAAATAAACAAATAGGAACAAAGCCATCTCTGTAAACTTCGTCATAAAGAACCCCATGTGATTTTCACATTTTCCACGTAGTTGACACCTACAAATGTTGATTCTTCTCAACACACAAGATAGCAGTCACAAAGACATAGTGTTATATGATAATATCTACCCTATTTGGTGACATGTAGTAAGTGCAGTGGGACACAAACTAGACATTTTAAAACTCATTAAATGATTCACAAATACAACATCGAATAAGCCCCCGGCGGTGCTCCATGCACCAATTAGTGTACACATTAGTGTACCAATTAGTGTTATGATATTATTATTAATCACATTTACTATACAAATTACAAATACCCAAAACCATACAAATGATGCCACACCATCTGTTGGTACACCAGTGTGTACATTAATTGGTGCATATAGTATTATTCTTAAGTCCCACATGAGTAATGATTAAAAAATAACTTTCATGCAGTACTTATGGGCAGCATACTGTCAGATGTTCATAAACACATATTTAGGTGGCAATCCAAACTTCAATGCCTTAAAACTTCCCATCTGTGATTTAGGCACATTCTATCTCTGCTACGCATGGGGAGGGAACAGAGGGGTTTGAATGAGACAATAAAAAAAAATAAGAAGAAAGGATGAAAACGATTACCTCCAGGCCTATAAACCTGCCAATACATGCAAATAAGTGCAAAATACTTTTGCTTCTCAAGCTTATAAAAACTTCAGCAGCGGTCATACTACTCTGGTTTAGAGCTTCTTCATATTCTACCAATGCCGAAGGGGACAGAATATTCTTCGATGACTGGAGAAGAAAACGCCCATTCCTGCAAGTCAAAAAAATTGAAACTACGATTTCTAAAAAAGATCATAAAAATCAGTAGGCAAACACCAAAGACAATTCTCAACATCCTATTTAATAAGTGTTTGCAAAAGAAAATAATGAGTGTCAGAAGATGAGTTTAGAACAAATACAAACAGCAGAAGCACATTTAAAATGCAATGTTAGCAATAAATGCATTTTTCAGGAACACCAAAGCTATCACCAAGACAAAATCCAAGGAAGCCTGATTTATGAAACTGATGTCAAGCAGAATATTCCAAAAGGACCGGAATACAATCCACATACTCATACTGTATATGAATCATCCTTTCCATGTACTAACACAATTACATGGCCATAATTTTTGTATCTCCATTTTAGACACCACTTTAGTGATTTTTAAAAAATATATACTGGACCAAAATATCCTAGGTATGTCTAAGAATGAGCTGTAATGGATCTCAATATGTGGTGCCATCATTACTACGAGAATAATCCAAGGTACAAGTCCAATATTAAAAATATTTTTAAATTCAAACGATTAACTGATACATATTGACATGCCACAAGCATTGAGATGTTCATGGTCACTATCACATAAGTGCAAGTTAAAAACATGAAAATGACTTTAACTAGTTGGACCATTTCATAAATAAAAAGTGAGCTATAATGCCCGTAATCAAGCCAAATCAGGCTGCAATTTTCAGACAACATAAGCCTTGCTTACTAGTTGATAACAAAGTTGTCAAATCATGAATTGAAATTGTCCTTTTCCGAATCACAAATCATAAAAATTCAATCATAATTTCTAATTTACAAAGAAAAATACATCTATGCATTTAGATATAAAATATATTATATTATATGTATGAAACAGTTAGACTTAAATCAATGAAAATATTGTTTTGAATGATGATCATATGGCCGATTATGATATTATTTATGATAATGCGCATCATACATGTACATATATGAATTAAAAGGAAACAAGAATTCAAGATTCATCATAAAATAAGTTAATTCAAGATTCATCAACTAAAGCAACTCCTTCATTTATGTGGTTTATGAGGCAAAATATATTACTTGGCTTCATTTTGGACTTGCCTCTGTCTTTTAAGAGGATCTCTTTATTTTTTATTACTAGATATTGGAAAGACGAAGTCGTATGTAGCTTGTGACGTCTTTTGTATTTTCTTTTAGCTTTTTGAGGACTTCCTGTCGCCCCGTACTTTTTTGTAACTTTTATTCTTTTTATTAACAAATTTTTTCTCGTCTCTATAACCAACCCAAAGCAAATTAAGTATTATGTCCCAATCAAGTAAGAATTGGCTACATGAGTCCCATTTTCCCATTCTGCCCTTTCAAGGACCATATGCTCAATTAAATTAAATAAATTCATACCTTCAGTGTCAATCAAAAAAATATATATATCAAAAAATGGCAAAAAGCCATCTCAACATTAATTAAATTGATTTAGTTCATTTTTGCACAGTTAAAGGTAGAAAACCTTATATTCATGCCAAGGGTGAAAAATGATGAGCCATAAGCACGAACACGTAGTACTTCCTGCCCTTCACATTGCCTGGCACTACATTTGCTATCCTTCTGAAGCTAAAAATTCAGCACCAAAAAAAGAAGATATTATTAGGCAAATGCATGAAATGGCATAAATAGGTTCCTAACACTCTAAAATACACTAAAATATAAATAAAATAAAATAAATTCACAAGGAGGCTATGATAAACTTTATGAACTAATTATCTTTAAGAAAATTTAAGAATATGTTACTCTATGCAACACGGATACTTCTAGAAGAGAGTCCTATCCATATCATCCTCGTATTAAATACTAGTACTCCTCATATACTCATGAATATGTATCTGATGCTTCCTAAGCATATCCATAATTTTCTTTAATTTAGAAAAATATCGAATACTTTTCAAATAGTCTAGGTCAAGTATCCAAACTATTGTAAAATTGAGACTAAAAGATGAGCTATTCAAAACAACTGTATAATAAAAAACGGTTTTGTGTGAAACTTCCAAAACAAAACCCCCCCAAAAAAAAAGAAACCTATTCCTACCCATCTTTCCAAAAACTGGGGTGCCAACTTTCATAGCCTTCCTTTCAACTTGTATTTTTCAGGTTTCTTCATTCCCTTTTTGTCATCTTTTTAATCTTTAGATGATCCTAAGCTCTCTATCTGAACCTGGAGTAGCCCTCATCCATGCACTCAAGCATAGGATAAATAATCCTGTAACTATGCCGTATTTTAATCTTTATGACATAAGTCCAAGATTTATTCTTCCCACACGAGTTCAGGTTGTAATAACAGACAATCACATACACAAACCAAAACCAAGAGAAATTTAGAAATCACATCACGTAATGTAGTTTTGAATTAGGATTTAGGTATTTCAAAGGTTTGAGATTCCAATTTAATAAAAGATGAGTTAGTTGCGCTGTGCATTAAACTAAAAAATAGAAACTAAATAAAAATAGATTTTTGTCCATTCAACCAACCTTTTTATAGTCAGCATCAGGTTCATCTGCGTGGCACTGAAGAATAACATCACCTGTAGCTCTATAGATCTGACCATTTTTCACCAGCTCTTTATAAATTTCAAGCAAACGAGTATATCTATTGCAACATATAGCTCTTAGCAGCAACTTCTCAACATCAATGCGACTCTGGTCAAGAAAAAATTCTGCCTCCTTACCAGTTAGAGGATCTATAACAAATGAACCATGAAGACATTTTATCTGCATATCTGGTCCTGGTTCAATTTTTATAAATGGGCATGACCCTGAGTCAGATGTACCAGAAGTCTTATCCAAATCTAACCAATATAAAATTTTTAATCCAGGAGTTCTTTGACCAGCCGAATCAGTTTCCCCTTCTTGACTCATTTGCATGGAAGCTGCACTCCCACCTTGTCCTGTGCTACCATCAGATACAAGCTCAAACCGGATAGCATCTTTCCATCTGCCTTGGCGAAGAGAATGCACTTGTCTTATGACAGTGTCCATAACAAGCGCAACACAAAGCTCGTGGAGAACAGAGTATAAAGTTATAAATGGATTTTCCGCAGCTGCCATTCTCCGCTCTAAATCATCTCCAAGAGCATGCCTTCGCGATTCTTCCAGCTTCACAAGCCCACTTCTCTCACCAACAAGCAGCTCCAAATGCAATATCCTCCACATTGATAGATGCCCACGATAACCAAGAGTAACTAAAACTTTAAATTCCCCATCCACACGAAGCATTGCAGTACCATCAGAAACTTTGACTTCAGAAAATTCTTTAGGAAGAGTAACTTCAAGCAACTTTGACCGTACAAGTGTGTCTAACTTCTTCAAAGCTGGCTTCTGCTGATCTTCTGTTAATGTGCTCTGAATACCTACATCTTCTACACATTTTGGTAAACGCTGGTAATTTCCTGTAAGGAGGACTTCGATAGCAGAGGGAACATCGTAGATAGGAGCGCGAGCTTGCTGTAGGCCTTCATGCATGAAAAAAAGGGAATCTGCCGTTTGGGTGAAACACATATCATGATTTGATACAGTTGATGCTAGTTGTTGACAATACTGTATTAAAGGAACCTGCAAATCAAACAGTAGGGATTTACAGGAGAATACATAATTATAAATTGCTTAATGCCCTCAATAAAAAATGTTCTATAGAAATTAGCACAGGATCAATGGGCAACTGTTACTTCAAATTCAAGAATCTCAAAGAAAACTCACAAATTCAGTCCAACTAGCAAGTAGAATGAGAACAGTTATTTGCAAATTTCAACTAAAATAAAATACGATCAGATCTTGGTGACCAAACAAATTTTGTGGTTACTATAAATCAAGTTGCAGAGATGCCTGCCGATGAAGTTAGTTCAACACAAACTAAAATTCACAAGACCATTTTTTTTTTTTTTCCCTTAATATGCCAATAAATTTTTTTTTTAAAGGTGGGTTAGGGGGAAGAAAATGGAGGGGAATATATGATAACATGTACTAAGCATGAAGAAAAAAAAAAGAAGGGAAAATTACGCAACAGTGCTAATTCCATAAAATTATTACATAATCATGAAAAAATCTATAATTTTAATTATCAATATTTATATAATTTTTCAAAATATCCCAATGAACTGATATTTGCCCCCCAAAAAACCCAGGCAGATTCTAGCAGATAAAGTAATTCAGTCCCCTCTGCATATCCGTGTTCATAATTCAGTAGTTTTTTCCAACATTCAATATTGGAAGGTTCAATTTTCCTTTCTTTTCCACCAGTTCAATTTTCCCAGATAGATGCTAGGGACACTAGACACAGATGTGAGAAAAATGTACAAGACCCACAAAGATGAGGTTCCACATGTAATGAACTCAAGTAAACGCCAGCAACCTAATTCTCAAGCAGGAACAATAAATAAATTTAAAAAATCCAGAATTAACCCAAATTCACGTTGATTCCTAAAATCAAAACTAGGCTCGCCATCGAATTCAAGAATCAGGAGATAGCTAGGCACACAGATATAGATATGGGGAGATAGAACTCGAATTATACCTGCTGACACCACTTGGCAAGAACATTGAGTCGGAGCATCCGTTGCTGAGTCTTGACGAGGAACTTGAGGAGGTTAATCTTCTTCTCGGAATCGGACTGTTCGGAGGACCTCGATTTCTCGACCAATTCCTTGAGAGAGATGTAAGATTCATCGGCGGCACGACTCACCAAGGTGGAGAACTGGACCGTTTGTTGCCCTAGTTCAGCCATTGACGCCCCTCTTTGAATACTCGATCTACAATACCAGGTGCATGGAAACTAGGGTCCGGAGTGCAGAAACCCTAGAGAGAGAAAGTTGAGAGATTCAGAGAGAGAGAGAGAGAATGAATACAAAAAATATTTAACAAGGACAAGCTGTGTATGTAATTCAACTCGCTCCCGCTATATTTGGCTAGTTTGTTCTGAAATCGGTTCCGATACCCCCGGCCCGGGTAGAGAGGCGGCTAGTCTGAATACATTTATCACTCTCGGTTAAGGCCCCGTTTGGGGTGTTGGCAAAAAAAGTCAAAACACCTGATTACACCTTCGTTTGGCATGGCAGCCTTTTTGAGCTTTGTTTGGTTTGATTTTGGAAGAGTCATTTTTGAAAAAAAATTTCTAAAATTATGTTTGGTTTGTGATTTTTTTCAAAAAAAAATTAAAATTACTTTTTCTTTTTTACATATCAATCAATTATTTTTTCTTTTTTTATCTCCCATTCTCAATCACTTTGGTTTCATTTGGTTTGTATTTCTGAAAAATTTTTGGGAAATTTTTTCTACAAATAAGTTTTTAAAAGTAATCAAACCAAACAAATTTTCTCAAAAAAATTTCTCAAAACTTGTAAACCAAATAAGTTTTCCAAACAAATCTCTCTCTCGCACACATCAAATCAATCACTTTTTCCAAAACTCTATCTTAAAATAATTTTCCAAAACATCTTTTAAAAAAAACCAAACCAAACATGTTTTCGTACTTTTTATCTCTAAAACACATCTCCCAAACACAAACCAAACATACCCTTTATCTCTCACACACATCTATGCAATTACAACAAACTATCAAATCATTCCAAACTCCTAAACTCTAAAACTATTTTCAAAATATACAACTAAACAAACTCAAAAAATTTATAAGCTCTCTCCTCAAATTTTTTTTTTTTTGAAAATCACTCTCTCACAAGCAAACCAAACATACCATTTGCCTTTTTGACTATTTTACTCGCAAAAAGATAAAGAGTTGGTTTGCGAAGTGGGTTGGCTTTTTGACCTATTTTAGCCTGAGCTAAAAAACTTTGTTTGGGAAGGACTTTTTGATTTTTTTGACCTTTTTTTTTGTGAGAGAAGAGTGTAATGATTATGGGTTGGATGTGATGTTTTATTTATTATGATTAAAATAGTCTATTTTGTCTTTTGTGACTATTTTAGCCACAAACCATCTTGCCAAACGAACCCAAAATGGACTTTTTAGCTCAATAAAACAAAATATAACATCAAACTTATAATCATTTCGTTTTTTCTATCACAAAAGTTAAAAAAATCAAAAAAATTATCTCAAACAAGACTTTTTAACTCCAAGATAAAATAGTTAAAAAACCAACTCACGTCTTAAATGAATCAATTTCTATTTTTTTAAATATCTTTCCATAAAAAAAAAAATAAAAATAATCACCTCTAATTTTGTTTTTTCCTTTAATTTTTTTTTTTTTTTTTTTTTTTTTTAGTAATGACCAATTTTATGTTTTGCTTATAATACTATTTTAATTACTATAATTCATAAGATTTAAGGTTGGTGTTGGCCCGCGCGCTCACTCAGCGCAGCTATATTTTTTTAGGGCTTGAGAATATTATGGGTAAATTACACTTTACACACTTACATTTTATATAAAATCTCACTTTAGTTCTTACACATCAAATTGTGACACTCAGCCCCTGTACTTTTGGTCAAGTGTCACGTTGACCCTTCTGTTAATAGTGAGGCTAACAAAAGTTATCATTTAGGGAGCTAAGTATTACAATTTTGATGTATAGGGATTAAAGTGGGATTTTGTATAAAGTGCAGGGGTGCAAAGTGTAATTTATCCTCACTTGTTTTTCATGTGACTAACTTCTATTAACAATGAGGCTAACAGAAGGGTCAAAGTGACACTTGACCAAAAGTGCGGAGGGGTTAAATGTCACAATTTGATATGTAAAGGCCAAAATTGGATTTGATGTAAAATGCAAGAATGTGAAGTATAATTTACCTGAATATTATTTTAACTCATAGTGTTAGGTTGGGTTGATTTTCAGTCTAATTGATTAACAAGGTTGGATTAGGGCTCAGCCCGACCCACTATATACTTAATTTAATTAATTAATTAATTTATATAATATATTAAAAATATACATACCTTTTTATTGTTGGCCACGTAATTTATAAGATATTCAAGTAGTCATTATTTTGCTGAAGATATTCACACAAAAAGATGTTTGAAGAAATTTGAAATTTATATTGTGATTTTTATTTTTATTTTTTTTTAGTTTTATGCATTACTAACAGTTTAGTTTTAAAAAATTTGAACTTTTGGAATTATGGGTGTGTTTGGTTTAAAAAAACTTGTAATTTTTAATTAATATGGTATTAATTGCTTTATAGCCGTTTGTCTATTTATAAAAAAAAAATAACAATGTTTAATTTTTTTTATAGCTTATGCTTATGACCCGATGAACAGACTTGAGAATTATAATTTATTTAGGGCCAGACTTGGATTAATTATATAGGCCCGATATTTGGGCCCGGGCAAGTTTGGATAAACACAAAGTCTCTTATTAGGTAGTATCAGGCCGGCCCGATAAATGACCACCATTTATGCCTCATGTAGTATTTAGTTATGATTTTTTTTTTTAATTATGACTCACAAAATATACAGTTATGCCATTTTATTCTTTACTTATAAGGTGCATCTGATACACAACTTTTTGAGGGGTGTGACCATAATCTTTCTCTAAAAAAATCCAATTTATTTGATTAAACCAATATATACTATATACTAACTAATATATTCGATATTATCAATTTAGTTGTTATAAAAATTTACAAAATTTTAAATAATTGTTCTACTTTTCTTTTGAGTTTTAAAAATTATTTTTTAAACTTTTTTTAGTGATTTTTTTTGCTATATTAGTCAATTGCCAAAACACACCTGAAGTGGGTCTAAAGAATAAAAAGAATAATATATTACAAAATTTACTATAAAAAAATAATTAGAAACTTAAAATTCTTTCTTTTTATTTTATTTTTCCTCTTTTATTTATCCCCACAAATTTAATATTCAACGTAATATTATTGGGAAAGATTCTATTTCCGCCGCAAATTTAACTATTTACATTAATTTTCTGATTAACTCACCTAAAAATTAAGTTTTTTAATTTTATCTCTTTACATACTCATAATTCCAAACATATAGACCATACATTATCTTTACATCCTCATAATTTCAAACATATACCATACCTTATCTTTACACCTATCTTTTTTTTTTTTCTTTTTCCCTCTGTTTTTTCTCTCCCATTCTCTCCTTTTTCATATGTTCTACCACCTTATATGAGGATGACAATTGGGTCAAAATAATGAGTTGAGGGGTGGCAGCTCTCAAGGGTGGGAAAGGGAAGTGGTTTCATCATTAAATCCCCATTTTTCTTATCTTCTTTGGTGCTATTTGATACAGCTTGTTATAAGTTAAAAATTAATAATTAGAAAATAGAAATCAAAGCACCCATTTCTCAACTTTTAAATAATTAATTTTTCTTAACTTCTTTAATTTTTTTCTATCTAAAAAGCTGTAAGGAGAAATTACACCAAATAATGTGATACAAATTCTCAAATTAAAATAAACTATAATCATCCACTATAATTCACACCAAACACCACCTTTTACCACCACTATTTCAAACCACCTTTCACATCAAATTCTCTTCCGCAACAAATTTATCCATCCATGATCTTCCCATCCAATTGAATTATTGATCTCTATCTTTTTCTCATAATTAATCTCACCCTCTCTTTCTATCAATAACCCTAATCATCATTGGCCAACCATGATTAAAAGAAGGATTGAGGTGGTTGGGTAAAGGCAAATAAGGTGGTGATAGTGGCAAGGAAGGGTTGGTAGTGGCCGAAGAAAATAGGGGAGGTGCTACAGTTGGGAAGTGTTGGAGGTCACCCCATGTGAAAGATGTGATCCTCATTTCATGCAAAACCATACATGCAGAGTCAAGGATGGTGGCATAGGAAGACCTCCACTGGAAATGAAAGTTTGAATTGGACATCTGCAAGACCCGCCCTTCTCTTCATGTTGTTGATGTTTGTTGATTTTCACCATTCACTATTAAAGAGGGTAGACATTTTTTGGTTGGTTGGTATCTCTCTCTTCCTCTCTTTGTGTATAAATAGAGATGGGAAGGAGATGATGTATTGTATCGAAAATTTGAGAGAGAGAGCTATGAGTTGAGTGAGAAGAGTTGTTCTCCTCCTCTGTTTTCTATTTTGCTCTATTTTAGTGAAAAATTCACATTTCTGTCCATGGATGTAGGCATTGGGCTGAACCACGTAAATATTGTCTTCTATGTGTGCGTGAGATAATTTTTCTGGGTGTGTTTGATCCTAACAAAGTGGTGTCAGAGCGCTGGTTGAGTCTTTTTCAGAAAAATAGGGTGCATTTTTCAGAAATGCCCAGAAATAAAAGTCGTCGAAATCCACTTTTGATCAGACGAAGTTGAAGCCCTCGAAGAGACGAGCACAGAGGTGAAAACCGCGTCGAAAAAGGAGATCAGATGGCCCCTTACGCGCCACACGCGCTCTGTGACGCCATTCATACGCGCGCCCATCCTCACACGCGCCTCACGCGCTTCCAGAGGAAGAGGACGCGTGATTTCACGCGCAGACACGCGCCACACGCTCTCGCCAGACGATGTCATATGCTAACGTCATTCAAGTCGAGCCGCCAGTCGACGCTGAGCCGCCAAACCGAGCCGAAGCCGTTGACCAGCAGCACCGCTAACCAAGTCGTTGACTGAGCCGCTGATGTCAGCCTGATGCCAGCAGAACTGGAGAAATAATCTGGTGCTTCTCAGGCGCACCAGATTCTGCCGCTGAACCATTCAATCTGTTTTAGCTTGTCCTAAGCCATTTGAGGCCCGATTTGGGTGATCTAATAGTGCTTTCCAACTATTTGGAATATTTTGGACACATCTGTACGGTCAGATTTTGCAAATCAGCTTTCAAAAATTTACAATTTTTGTTTTGGCAATCCGAAGTGCTTTTTCGGCTAATTTGATCAGTCCGGACTTAACGGCGAAGTCGATGGAGGAATCCACATCAGTTTTAGGGCCGATGATTCGGTTGAATGCTTCAAATTATGCGATATGGAAGCCGCGGATGGAGGACATCATGTATTGTAGAGACTTGTTTGACCCTATAGTACTAAAGGGGGTTAAACCAGATGGAGACAAGGATGAGGACTAGATAAAAACCAACCGGAAGACTGTCAGTCAAATCAGACAGTGGATTGATCACAGTGTG